AGGCGGGTCTCGAACCTGTGGGCTCAGGCAATCCACTCACCTCGGCCTCCCAAAGCGCTGGGATTATAGCCTGAGCCACCCAACCCTGCCAAGTTTTTGTTTTTAACTACCCCACTAACATACCACCTAGAGAAATCATTTCCAGGTAGAATAAAAATCTACAATTTTTTAAATGAAACTATTAAATTAGGAGAGGAGGAAAGGGAGAATCCACATAAGCTCAGGGTAGAGAGAATACTTTTTGAGAAAGACTAGAGATTCAGAAACCAAAAAGGAAAAGAAACCAAAAAGAACAGAGAAAGATACAAGAAGATTTTTTTAAGTCAGACGCAGTGGCTCACGCCTGTAATCCCAGCACTTTGGGAGGTGGAAGCGAGAGGATTGCCTGAGTCCAGGGTTTGAGACCAGTCTAGGCAACTTAGCGAGACCTCGTCTCTATGATACATCAAAAAATTAGCCGGGCGTGGTGACATTCAACTGTTGTTCCAGCTACTTGGAAGGCTGAGGCGGGAGGATCACCTGAGCCCAGCAGGTTGAGGCTGCAGTAGCCCTGATCATGCTACTGCACTCCAGCCTGGGTGACAAAGTGAGACTACGACTCAAAAAAAAAAAAGCAAAAAGTATATATTAAAATGTTGTCAGGCACACTGGCTCATGCCAGTAATCCCAGAACTTTGAGAGGCCGACATGGAAGGATTGCTTGAGTCCAGGAGTTCGAGATCAGCCTGGGCAACATGGCGAGACCTTGTCTCTCCAATAATTAAAAATTAACCGGGCATGGTGGTGTGTACCTGTAGTCCCAGATACTTGGGAGACTGAGGCAGAAAGATCGCTTGAGCCCAGCAGGTTGAAGCTCTGGTGGCCGTGAGGGTGCCACTGCACTCCAGTCTGGGTGACAGAGTGAGAACTCGACTCAAAAAAAAAAAAAAACGTTAGCCGGGCTCCATGGTTCAGCCTGTAATCCCGTGCCTTTGGAAGGCTGAGGTGAGTGGATTGCCTGAGCCCGCGGGTTCGAGACCTGCCTGGCCAACTTGGCGAGACCTCATCTTTACAATTAAAAAAAAAAAAAATCAGCCAAGCATGGTAGCGCGTGCCTGTAATTCCGGCTACTTGGAAGGTTGAGGCAGAAGGATCACCGGAGCCCAGTGGGTCAAGGCCGCAGTGGCCGAGAGCGCCACTGCACTCTAGTCTGGGCGACAGAGTGAGACTACAACTCAAAAAAAAAAAAAAAAAATGTTGCTTAGCAAAAGGTACCATCAACAAAATTAAGAACAACCCACTGGGAAGAGAAATCTGAAGCTGTTATCTCAGAGTTAAAGTCCTGAAGAGTGCCAGTCGCGGTGGCTCATGCCTATAATCTCAGCACTTTGGGAGGTGGAGGTGAGAGGACTGCCTGAGTCCAGGAGTTCAAGACCAACCTGGGCAACTTGGCGAGACCTCATCTCTACAATAAACCAAAAAATTAGCCAGGTGTGGTAATCACCGGAGCCCAGTGGGTCAAGGCTGCGGTGGCCGTGAGCGTGCCACTGCACTCTAGTCTGGACCACAGAGTGAGACTCCAACTCAAACAAACAAACAAAAAAAAGTCCTGGAGAGTGCCCATGAATAATCAAAAAAAGACAACACAGTGGAAAGTGGGTCAAGGATCTGAATACGCTGCTCAGAGCAGGGAATGCAAATGCCAACACACAAATGAAAAGATGCTGTGCCCAGACAGTCAGGCAAAGCAGTTTACAAAGAGATCCTCACCTATGAGATTGGCCAAAAAAAAAAGGAGACAAATACCATCACAGGCTGTAGAAAAACCAGTACACACTGGTGGGACTATAAATTGCCTTAACCTTTGGGAAAAGTAATAAGGCTGAATCTTCTAACATTTTAAAGACACATACTGCCAGGCATGGTGGCTCAAGCCTGTAGTCCCAGCACTTTGGGAGGCCAAGACGAGAGAATTGCCTGAGCCTGCAGGCTTGAGACCAGCCTGGGCAATATGGTGAGAACTTGTTCTAAAATAAACAAAAAAATTAGCCAGGTGTGGTAGCGCACACCTGCGGTTCCAGCTACTTGGAAGGCTGAGGCGGAAGGATCGCCAGAGCCCAGCAGGTAGACTCTGGGGTGGCTGTGAGCGTGCCACTGCACTCCAGCCTGGGAGATGGGGTGAGACGCCAACTCAAAAAATTTAAAATATTTTTAAAAAATAAAGACACATACATCTTTGATCTCATTCTCCAATTTGCAGAACTCTGCTCTACAGACTAAAAGCATCTGGATATAGGGGACAGGATGTGTACTGCGCCGTTCTTTTCTTTTCTTTTTTTTTTTTTTTTTTTTTGAGTT